TTTACTTTCTCAAACGTTGTATTGGTGTGAAGGGCACTAAAGCAAGTAAAGGACTGACATAGTTAACCATCCATCTATTTTCTAAATGTTTCAGAGCTGTGTCCAAGCAAGAAGGCAGGATACTCCCTGGATGGGACACCAGTCCATTATTATAGATGGCAACTAGCTAAATTTGTCAAAAACAGTGACAAAGGAATCACAAAAAGACTAGAGTGAAAATCACAGATTAAAAAGGCTGGCAAATGAAACTTAATGTTGGTGAGTGCAAAGAGTTCTATGCTAGAATAGCATATACAATTCTATACAATTTCTTGCATTAGGAATTCATCTTTTCGCATACCCCAACTTTTTTCACACAGACAGGGAGAGAAGCTTGGGGTCAGAGCGCAGGGTCTGCCATTGTACAGCGCCCCTGGAGCAGTTAGGATTAAGGGCCTTGCTCAGGGGCCCAACGGAGTAGGATTCCTCTGCCGGCCGCGGGATTTGAACCGGCAACCTTCCAGTCACAGGCACAGATCCTTAGGCACTGCTCCACCTCTGTTAGGGCCAGTAAGTTAACAACACAAATTTAACTGTGAAATGCCAGATGTCTCTCTAAATCAGAACTTCCACCAGTAATGAAATCGAATGCTAATCTCTTCATTGGCACATATTAGGGGATGTGATGTAAAATCCCAGTTAAATACATTGTTCCAACAAAACAGCATGAGTTTCTCCTTTATAGCCCACCATCTGACCTTACATTAAAGAGACTGAGGCTGCACTTACTACCTCAAATAAAGAGCAACTGTGGCAAGCTTATGGAAATTGCTCATAGGTCATCATAAATATTCACCATTAATATTTTAAAGACAGGGGAGGTGGGCAAAAAGCAGCCCAGCCTCAGTAATGCCTGTATACAAATCCTTCCATTAAATTTATCCATAAGCATTTTAACTGGCATAGATCTGAGGCCATGTAAATACAAAGGGAATGTGTAGAAATTTTTGCTCGATGAAAAAAAACGAGCAGAGAAATTGATTCAGGCAACTCTGTGGTCTACTCAAAGGGGGGCTTTAGGGAGATTTTCTTTCTCACCGACTTAAAGACTACCCCATAGGTTAATGTATGCAGCCGAGCGTCTCTCCCAAGGTATTTCCTGCGGCTGTGCCGGTTACAGATGAGAGGAGCCCCTCTAAGCCATCTTCTTCATTTGCTTGGTGGCAGGTAAGTGGAGGGTGGCATGATGACGCAGTGGTTAGCATTGCGGCCTCACAGTGTTGGGGCTCTGGGTACAATTCCTGGGGTGTGGGGTTTGTATGGGTTTCTTCTTAGTGCTTCAGTTTCCTCCCACAGTCCAAACACATACTGATAAAATACTGTAAAACAACTGATCCTGGTTTGACTGCATGTTTGTGACTGGTGCCCCATCCAGGGTGTGAGCACACCTCGTGCCTGTTGCTTGCGAGGTCAGGCTCCGGTGTGCCTAATGTCCCTCTACTCGACAGAGTAGTCAGAAAATGGACAAATGGATAGTTAAGTGGATCCCAGAATACTGTGTATGCTAACTAGGAAATGTATAGTGGAGACTGGAGCTCAGTTTATCTTGTCTGGAACAGGAAAAATGATTTCTACAGCAGTTCATTAAGAGAAAACTGAAACAGGAACTATAAGAAAGGTGCTTCTATTAGCATTGTTTATTGATTCCAAATGTTTACCATCTTGGGATAAACACAGAAAAGGTGTTTTGGAAATAAAAATAAAGCACATAAAAAGTCCCCTTCCCACTGCATTTGTATGAAACACTTAGATTCATTTAGCTCTGAAAAAGACACTATGTTTAGACAAAGTTTTATAGTTTAGGCCATTCAACAATACACACCAATTGCATAGCATTGTTACCCATTTCAGGTTTTAAAAGCTGTTAGCTACAGCCGAGTCTATACAAATGAAACAGGAAACAAAAAGCCAGTCAAATTACATCAAACAGCAGTGCCGTGGCTGTTCATCTGTTCTTAAAAAACAGCCTTTGACACAGCTGGGAGTCATAAATACACACATGCATCTACTTGTACTGCTTCTCTAAAACATTGCACTGCATCACTCACCTGCTAATTTCAACAACCTGTACTACAAGGGCTTCTTATTCTGATAACCTGCCCCCCCTTCCCTCAGTGATAATTTTATCACATTACTTACACTTCTGCACACAGTACGATCTGTCACAATATTCTGCATGACTTCCATTTAACAGTAGAGTAAAACTAAGGGGAACAGTTTGGCATATCCTAACCGTTCCTTCAGTGCCAGCTGTTGTCTCTGAATATATACAGTATTTGCCTGCAGAACTTTATATCAGATACATGGATGGCTTGCCAGTAGCTCAAGATTTGTCATGTCAGCAGATCAGTGCCATGGTGGAACTAATCTGTTGAGCACCTGAGTCCAAAGTATTTGCTTATTTATCAAGATGTGCCCTAGAGTATTAAATATGACAAAAGTTAATAAGAATAGAGGCCACTAGTATCTTTATTATTTTGCCATTAGGTAACCTTAAGCCCCTTAAGAAATAATGCCAGCCCCTTATTTACAACATTTTATTTCCAAGTGGGTCCTTACATGCCACTAGTACATATTGCCAGTAAATTCTGCAATGCAAAGCATTTCATAGTCATTTACTACTTGCCTTCAGTGAGGTGAGACAGACCTGGAGCAAGAGTTACTTTGGCTTTACATCTCCAATTTGCTAATGGCAGGGCTATAAATCTATCAGGTCTCAGTGAAATAAAGGAAATGACATGACGCTCATTGCATAATATTGTTAAAAGCAGATCCTCCTCAACTTGCTCCTTTGGGGAATTTTAAATTTGTCTTTAGAATTCTTAAAAAAACATATGCCTCCTGGGTATCTTATAAATGTAAAAGCATATTAATACAACATGGTTATTATTTACTATTTTGTGAGCTTTCATGTGCACCCATTTGCAGTATTGTTGCAGTGCATTCTACTAGAATAATTAGGTTGAAGTTCCTTGCTGAAGAGTACAACAGAAGTTGTACTTACTGTTTGTACTTAGTTTGCTTACTGGGCAGCTTTACAGATCTCAATAAACTTAAGCTTATTCTTAAGGAATTCCAGTGAATGAGTGAAACATACACAGCTCTTCATGCAAACAAGCACCTCATATTTTCCAACTGTCCATTTACAGTACATTGATGAACTTATATCAGATTTGGATGTGCTTATTAAAACCCAAAGTCTCATGAGAATTCTGAAGATATCAACCAAACCCCACAAGTTACCAGGCTAGTTGAGGCCTTGAGTTTTGTAAGCTTTCATTTTAAAGAATGTCTATGCATTAAATTCAGAAATAATATGAAGACCTTGATAAGAAACCACAACATGTTTTCATTCTACAAGATTTTAGCTACAGAGGTCTGCATATTCCTAATGAAATTCAAAATAAAATTAGCAATTGCAAATACTGGAGTAAAAAATAATATACTGTATATATATATAGATTGAGGTTCTCACAATTCTCACTTTCCTGTAAGTTGGGTATTTTTCATTTCTCAAAAAGACACATTTTTTATAGAAGGAATGTTGTAGCAAACTACCACACAAATGTAGTTCCTCTTTAAGAATCAATTTCACTCTAAACTGTTATACTTTACTGTCTTCTTTCCATACACCAGGATCATTATTTGTACTGTTTTAATAATCTCTTGCTTGTTCTTAAAAGCCCTGGAAAACTGCTAGCACACATCTATAACTACAAACTTCATTTCTTATCACTGACAACAGATTCCCATAAACTACTTTTCAACAGTCAAATACTTCAAAAAAAGGAACAAGTAATAGGTTTATTCCATGCTGAAAAAAA